AAACTTTATCATTAAATTTCAGTTCAAAGAAAAATTACTGAATATTGTTTCGTAGATTGGTTAAAGTTAAATATAGATAATCCGTTTGAAGAATTTTAGAATATGATTCGAAATTAAGAACCATTTCCAAAGGTGCAAATAATTTTATTTGGTTCTAGAAATCAATCAAGTCATTCAAATTAATACAAAATGATAAATCGAAACTGTTTAACATTATCCTGCTATTTGCCTTTAATTTATTTGATTCTAATCTAAATCTCAGTTTCTTTATTTGGATATCAGTGTACTAAAATTTAAATTTTAACTGTTAATTTTTTTTTTAAAATGTCTCTTCTGATGTTAGAATTTTTATATTTTAAATATTATAAATTATGTAAAAAGTCTACTTGGAAACTTTGGTTAGAGAAATTGTTTTAACTTTGTTTGAAATCATATAAATTTATTGTATTTTTTAATAAATTAAACGTTTCATTATGTAGTTTATAATTTTCTAACATACTGTTCAATACACAAGATCAATATTAAATGATGTTGAAATATTAATGCTTTAAGGATTAAATTCCAGTTTCTTTTATTTAAAAAAATCTAACAATTACATAATTATTTTTATATAATATAAGACTTTATAATTGTTTATATTTTACATTCTCATTTCAATAAATAATGACAGAAAAATTACCTTTGATATTGACTGTGAAGAGAATTTTTAAAACAAGTTTCAAAACGATATTTTAATATCATTGTTTCTTTCAATATTATTTTAATTATATTAAAATTAAATATTAAAAAATACAAAATTATTATAGTAACAAAAAGATCAATTCTACAAAACAGCAGTGAAAACAATTTTTTTTTTTTAATTCTCGGTAGATTATCNGTAACTAAAGTCTTTGTAACAAATCAAAGTTTATGAGTCTTGATAAATAAAAGTCGAGATTTGTATAAATTTCAAGGCCCTTCTATTGTGAAAGTTGCAAGAGCTGTAGAATGAGATTAAGTTATAATATCATTTCTTTTTTTATGAATTTGAATATTTTTATTGATTTCAAAATTTTACTTTGCTCTTCTTTCCGAATATATTGAAGATATACTTTAAGAGAAAGCACAAGAATAAAATATTCAATCAAATTTTATTTTATTTATTCATGCAATTTCATAGATTTATGTCTTTAGATATTTTTCAATTTCTAAGAAGTTCTTTAATTATAAATTTATGATTAAATATTTTAAATTTTGTTATAATTATTACTTGAAACAGTAAAAAAAATTAATCCAAAAAATTGACAAATATTAAAAGCATACACACATACAAAAATNCTTATAATTACATTTTTACACTTTAACCAAAACAATATTGATCATCATAACTTTTTTATTAACTCATTTATATTGAGATTACAGAAAAATTGAATAAAATGTATACATTATATTACACAAATATTGAATTTTTCTCCATTGAAAATTGGATAGGGATTATATTTTAATCCATTTCAGCTGTTTTCTTCCTTTCTAGAGCCATTCTATTTTAGTATCTTGCAGTTTGACACTCCTATATCTAATATTGTATCTTCCTAACACTTATCATATCCTTTCCACATTTTTCGTTCCATTGAATTGTATTGCTTTATTTGACGAAGCAAATTTAAATATTAAAAATCTTCTTCATCCAATGACTCAATCTTGATATAAATAAGCAATTTACAGACTACTTTACTAAAAAAATTTTTTATAAAGATTAACGTAGATATGCGCCTAAAATTCATTTTCTTTGAGTCATAACTAGTAGAGAAACTTGGGAAAACAAATTTTTATTTTAAAACAATAATAAATTTTAATAAACAAAATTAAATGTTTAAACTTTATAAAGTTTATAGTAATTTATTTTAAGTGGTTTTACTTAAGTAATGCTTTTTTTTAAAATAAATTTTGTATGCTTAATTAGATGAGGTCAAAGAATTTTTTGTAATAAATATGAAAATTGGGCGAATAATTAATTTTTTCACAATTTAAATTTATTATTGTATTATAAATTCAAAAAATTATAGAATTAATCGATTAAGTTGATTTCATTTATTTTTAAATGAAAAAATTTCAAAATTATGTTAACATTATCGAAAAAATTTCTAATAAATCTTTACTTTATAATATGTATTTTAATATAAATCATATTTGCCNACTGTCACATTACCCGTCCATTCCAGTGGATTAGTTGTCACTGAATCAGATGCTGCAATTATAAAATATGGTAAATTACTACTTCCATACGCACAAATTGCATTATATTAATTTAATTTATTTATTAATTTTACTCCATTTTTTACGTTTTAATTACTTTTTATTTAAATTCAATCTCATTATCATGTCGAAAAGAGCAAAAATTTAAGATTAAACGAAAACTACACACAGGTCAACTTTTATTAAAATCCGCTCACAGATACAAACGTGTTTCTTAACATTCACCAGACACAGATTCTGTGGTTTTTTTTATCGTTCTTTTTTTTTTACTTTTACTTTTAATATTTTTGTTTGTACACTTAACTGACCAAACAAATGAACTGTACATTTTCACCAGAAGGCTTGCAATATGCGGAATCCACAGAAAAACAATAACACACAAAAACAAAACAGTGTATGGCTACCAGACCACCACTAATCACTATCATAGCACTTGGCCCAAACTTGAGACTATCTTTCTCAAATATTGCTTATTAAGGATTCTTTTTAATAATTAAGGCTCTGACTTATTTTAAAACATATTTTACTTTACAAAATTTATGCTAAACAGTTTGAATAAGAATGAATTTTCATACATACATATGTATATATATATATATATATATATTTATTTATTTATTTATAATTACGTGTGAGAAACATTCAACAAGCTTTTTATGTTCTACAAGACCAAACATAATAATATTTAATGCAAAAAATTAATTATAATTAACAATAGATAAATTTAATTTCCATCGTTTTTTTAAACAGTGTACACAATTTATAAGCTTAATGATTTAGAATCAAATAGTTTGTTTTTTCCTTTTTTTAATTTTCGATTTAAAGAAAATGCTGTTATAATAATAATATTATTAATATTAATATTATTATTATTAAAATTTATATTTTTACCTGATTTTAATAAAAAATATTATATTTTTTACAGATGCTGTTTAAGAATATATCCTTCAACCAAGTGAGTACATTTAAAATTGACTATATAACTTCAGCTTTATTTTTTATATATATATATATAAATTCAAAAGAGGAGATCGTCCTTTTCAAAAGCCATATTATCTATGTTTAAAATAATTAGTATAATCATATATGACAGTTTGAAGATTTCTTGTTTACATATGAATTTATAAGAGAGGAGAAAAAATAAAACCAATAACAACCATCGTAATTCTAAAAAGTTATTTCACTTTTAAGTAATATAACTTATGCAGAATGAAATTTTTTCTATATTTAATAAACATATTCAACAGTTAAATTTAATTCTTAACAAAAAAAATATATCTTTTTTTTTAGCCTATACAAAGTTTTGTTTTGACTGTGCCACAAATAGAGCCGAAATGACAGTTATTTGCTCTTTTTTTCTATTTAAAACTGATTTTTTTTATCTTGTTAAAATAAACAATTTCTTAAATTCAGTATCATCACTTCTATTTACATACTCTTAGATATCCTTGTATGCCTGCCCCTGTATTATTTTAAAATCAAAAATTTCAAATGATCAGGTACCAGTTATTGAAAAGTATTTCCTTGGACTTTCGGATGTTAATTTTCAATACTGTTTTCTTAATAGAGAAATTCTCTCCGTGGCCCAATAACAGCAATTAAAAGAACCCTACGTTATGCATATATGGTTTATTTTTTATTTTATTTTATTTTTTCGCGACGTGGAGTTACTACAACAATGGTATATAAATATATTTGCTTGATGACAGATGTTACCGTTTGAAAATTTTGAACTCTTTGGTATTTTTTAAAGAAGCTATACAGTTGGCAGCAACATTAGTGACTAATATTCAAATGAATTGATTCAAAAAATGAGGTATTTTTTTTAAACGAAAAATTAAGCTAACATTGAACGAACGATTGGTTGTTTTTTTTAATCCAATGAGTTTTGAAATATTAAATTACTAGTTAAGAGGGAATTTAAGGTATACTTAATTGAGATTTTCATTAGTCTTCATTTTCTATGCCAAAGATTTACTTTGCCCATACTGTAAATTTCATTATATTGTAAATTATTGAATGTTTATATTTTACGCCAATTCTTCATTAATATAAAACTTTTAAATATATTTTGTCAAAATTAATTTAATTTATTAATTGGAAATTTTAAATTTATAAGTATTTAATACATACTTTTTTCCATTTTAAAAATTAATCTTACTCCAATTATAAGATTTTCTTAAAGGATCATTTGGACATTTTTACAAATTGTCATAGAATATTAGATTAAGAATAATAATCTTATCCAATGACAATTAATACGCGTATTCAAAAACCAATTGCAGTCCACAAATTTACTAATTTATATGGGTCCAAGTGTACAAATTAGTGAATGGAGACTTTGGCAATATGGACAAAACGACGAAACACAAAACTTCACAAATTCCGTTCTAAATTTGCTATCGCTTTTTTATGGTCATAAAGATCGACGGAGCAATCTTTAATCAATGAGACACAACATGTAATTTGCATGTATACTGTTCACTGGATTAATTTTCTGTCCTCAATAGAATCTCATACTTACTCGTTGACCCAAGATATCTTTTATATTTTTTCCTTTCCATAACGGTTCTAGATGCAGGTGCTGTATTTTAAATTTAATTATTATTATTTTTTTTATTATTATTATTTATATTTCTCTGAGTTTGCATTACGTACAGTAATTATTCTGCACTGTAATAGTTTGCATACACACATACAGTATATAATATATTGTCTTTTCTTCTGGACAGCATAGGTTGCCTTTTAGTGACAATACGTATATGTCACTTAGCATTAGTTGCTTGACCTGATCCCGTGTTATGATTATTCTGATTATTTTCAGAATTTCTTTGAGAACTTTTCTTGCTTTTCATCCTCCTATTCTGAAACCAAATCTTAACTTGCCTTTCGGTGAGATTAAGATTGCGTGCCAGTTCCCAACGCTTTTGTTTTGAAACATATGCATTAAACAGGAACTCCTTTTCAAGTTCTAATGTCTGGAACTTGGAGTAGGGCTTGCGTTTCTTTCTCACTGTCACATTACCCGTCCATTCCAGTGGATTAGTTGTCACTGAATCAGATGCTGCAATTATAAAATATGGTAAATTACTACTTCCATACGCACAAATTGCATTATATTAATTTAATTTATTTATTAATTTTACTCCATTTTTTACGTTTTTATTCCCTAATTTTTATATAAATTAAACTCAGATTTATCAATTTCTAGTAAGTTTAAGATCTCTATTTGAAATTGAAGTAATGTTATGTAAAATTATTATCGAATTAACATTAAAAATATTTAAAACACAGTGTAATTCAATGAATAAGTAATTAACTTTATTTAAATTCCTATAAACTATATATTATGAGCACTACATAAACCTTAATGATTTAATTAGATTTAATTGGACTTGAGAACTTTTGCATTTGATAATAACAAAAGAAATCTACTACGAAACTGCTAACAATTTTTAATATTTAAATAACAATATAAATTTATAATCTAACAATCATTTAATTTGTATGTTTCTCATCTACTATATGAATTATGCATGTTTAAAAACCATATGCTGAAAGTTTTTATAATTTAGCACTTNTATTTTTTATATATATATATATAAATTCAAAAGAGGAGATCGTCCTTTTCAAAAGCCATATTATCTATGTTTAAAATAATTAGTATAATCATATATGACAGTTTGAAGATTTCTTGTTTACATATGAATTTATAAGAGAGGAGAAAAAATAAAACCAATAACAACCATCGTAATTCTAAAAAGTTATTTCACTTTTAAGTAATATAACTTATGCAGAATGAAATTTTTTCTATATTTAATAAACATATTCAACAGTTAAATTTAATTCTTAACAAAAAAAATATATCTTTTTTTTTAGCCTATACAAAGTTTTGTTTTGACTGTGCCACAAATAGAGCCGAAATGACAGTTATTTGCTCTTTTTTTCTATTTAAAACTGATTTTTTTTATCTTGTTAAAATAAACAATTTCTTAAATTCAGTATCATCACTTCTATTTACATACTCTTAGATATCCTTGTATGCCTGCCCCTGTATTATTTTAAAATCAAAAATTTCAAATGATCAGGTACCAGTTATTGAAAAGTATTTCCTTGGACTTTCGGATGTTAATTTTCAATACTGTTTTCTTAATAGAGAAATTCTCTCCGTGGCCCAATAACAGCAATTAAAAGAACCCTACGTTATGCATATATGGTTTATTTTTTATTTTATTTTATTTTTTCGCGACGTGGAGTTACTACAACAATGGTATATAAATATATTTGCTTGATGACAGATGTTACCGTTTGAAAATTTTGAACTCTTTGGTATTTTTTAAAGAAGCTATACAGTTGGCAGCAACATTAGTGACTAATATTCAAATGAATTGATTCAAAAAATGAGGTATTTTTTTTAAACGAAAAATTAAGCTAACATTGAACGAACGATTGGTTGTTTTTTTTTAATCCAATGAGTTTTGAAATATTAAATTACTAGTTAAGAGGGAATTTAAGGTATACTTAATTGAGATTTTCATTAGTCTTCATTTTCTATGCCAAAGATTTACTTTGCCCATACTGTAAATTTCATTATATTGTAAATTATTGAATGTTTATATTTTACGCCAATTCTTCATTAATATAAAACTTTTAAATATATTTTGTCAAAATTAATTTAATTTATTAATTGGAAATTTTAAATTTATAAGTATTTAATACATACTTTTTTCCATTTTAAAAATTAATCTTACTCCAATTATAAGATTTTCTTAAAGGATCATTTGGACATTTTTACAAATTGTCATAGAATATTAGATTAAGAATAATAATCTTATCCAATGACAATTAATACGCGTATTCAAAAACCAATTGCAGTCCACAAATTTACTAATTTATATGGGTCCAAGTGTACAAATTAGTGAATGGAGACTTTGGCAATATGGACAAAACGACGAAACACAAAACTTCACAAATTCCGTTCTAAATTTGCTATCGCTTTTTTATGGTCATAAAGATCGACGGAGCAATCTTTAATCAATGAGACACAACATGTAATTTGCATGTATACTGTTCACTGGATTAATTTTCTGTCCTCAATAGAATCTCATACTTACTCGTTGACCCAAGATATCTTTTATATTTTTTCCTTTCCATAACGGTTCTAGATGCAGGTGCTGTATTTTAAATTTAATTATTATTATTTTTTTTATTATTATTATTTATATTTCTCTGAGTTTGCATTACGTACAGTAATTATTCTGCACTGTAATAGTTTGCATACACACATACAGTATATAATATATTGTCTTTTCTTCTGGACAGCATAGGTTGCCTTTTAGTGACAATACGTATATGTCACTTAGCATTAGTTGCTTGACCTGATCCCGTGTTATGATTATTCTGATTATTTTCAGAATTTCTTTGAGAACTTTTCTTGCTTTTCATCCTCCTATTCTGAAACCAAATCTTAACTTGCCTTTCGGTGAGATTAAGATTGCGTGCCAGTTCCCAACGCTTTTGTTTTGAAACATATGCATTAAACAGGAACTCCTTTTCAAGTTCTAATGTCTGGAACTTGGAGTAGGGCTTGCGTTTCTTTCTCACTGTCACATTACCCGTCCATTCCAGTGGATTAGTTGTCACTGAATCAGATGCTGCAATTATAAAATATGGTAAATTACTACTTCCATACGCACAAATTGCATTATATTAATTTAATTTATTTATTAATTTTACTCCATTTTTTACGTTTTTATTCCCTAATTTTTATATAAATTAAACTCAGATTTATCAATTTCTAGTAAGTTTAAGATCTCTATTTGAAATTGAAGTAATGTTATGTAAAATTATTATCGAATTAACATTAAAAATATTTAAAACACAGTGTAATTCAATGAATAAGTAATTAACTTTATTTAAATTCCTATAAACTATATATTATGAGCACTACATAAACCTTAATGATTTAATTAGATTTAATTGGACTTGAGAACTTTTGCATTTGATAATAACAAAAGAAATCTACTACGAAACTGCTAACAATTTTTAATATTTAAATAACAATATAAATTTATAATCTAACAATCATTTAATTTGTATGTTTCTCATCTACTATATGAATTATGCATGTTTAAAAACCATATGCTGAAAGTTTTTATAATTTAGCTTTTAAGTAATATAACTTAT